CTCGGGTCCCGACTTGGCCGTCGTGACGGAGGAGGCCGCGGCGCCGAGGGCGGCCGGGCCGGGGGCCGATCGAGAGGACCGAGGGGGCCCGGTGTCCCGGCCGAGTCGGTGCCCGCTTGTCGCGGTGGGTACGGCGGAAGGTGTTGGGTGCCGCGTGCCCCGTCGCAGTCTGCCGCTCAGAAGCTCAGAAGCAGCTTCCGGTCCCGGCTTCCGTGCCCCTCCCCCCCATAGAACTTGGTTCCGGGTGAACAGTTGCACTGCGTTCCAGCCCGGCCGCTCTGTGGGGACGGGCAGCGGAGTTGAGGAGGGCCGGGGCCGGGCCCGCTCCGCCTGCCCGCTAAGGTCCTAGCCAGTCTGCCCACCCTACTCGCTGGGTTGAGACCGACAGCTTTGGGCAGCTGCCTGTCCCCGGACAGGCAGGGTTACTTGCTCGTTAGAACTGCTCCCCAGCCCCGGCGCCTGGCTCTTATTTACTTATTTATTTTTTTATTATATTTGCTTATTTTTTTTTACTTATTCAGTCACTGGGGTTTGAGCTTAGGGCCCGGGACCTGTCTGTTGGCTTTTTAGCCTCAAAGCTGGTTCTCTATCGCTTGAGCCAGCTCCACGTCTGCCTTTTGGGTGGTTAACTGGGGATGAGTTTCATGGACTTTTCTTCTCCAGGTTGTCTTCCAGCCCTACATCCTCAGACCTCAGCCTCCTAAGTAGCCCGGTGGCCCCACAGCACCCGGCTCAGTGCCAGGCTGACGTCGCTGTCAGGCCTCATCCGCCGTACCCACCCAGATCCTTCTGCGTTTCCCTAGCTCAGAAAAGATAAGCGGGACATACAGGGGCTGCCAGTTCTAACTCCCATCCTTGCGCGGAGCTATTCCTGATCAGCACTTGTTTGCCTTTTTCCCTTTTGTCCTCAGTGCTGAGGAACCTAGGGCTTTGGGCATGCTAGGCCAGCACTCTGTCCCTGGCTAAATCCCCAGCCCCATCTGCCTTTCTAATTGTGGCCATTCTGGTAGGTGAGATATTCCCTGCGTTGTCTAATGACAAATGTTGAACATTTCATATAATTAATGGTTCTTCATATGCTTTCATTGGAGGAATTTTGCTCTTCAGATTCTTTTTCTCTTTTTAAAATTTTGTCTTCTTGAGAAGTATTTTATATATCCACAACTTTCTACGTGTGTTCTTCCTTATGCCATAGCATACTCTTGATACTGGATCTGTAGGTTAAGGTTACATCCAGTTTTGAAATCTTTTCATGTATTGTTTAGCTTTTGATGTGTCTTTATTTTTACATCTTGGCTCTCCAACTAGGCTGAAAGTACACTGAAGTCCCAGCGCTGACTTTTCAAATCCCCAGACTTCACTGAATTGGCCAAAGCCCTTGGCCTCATTTCTCAGTTCCCAGATGTAAATAAAACTTGTGCCTTCCATTATCACAGGATTATTGCAAGGAAATGAAATTACAAAGCAGAAACACTTGAAGCTAGCATTCTGTAAATACAAGGGACAAAGTTATACTTGTCAGGAAATATGTGTAATTACTTTAAGACCATTAATATTAATCAGACTAATTATGCTTATACTGTATTTGTAAATCCTTTTTTAAAAAATTGTACTGTGGTTTGAACTCTGGACCCTGTGCTGATTAGGCAGGTACTCTACCAGTCAAGCCACACCCACAGCCCTTTCTTTGCTTCAGTTATTTTTTTGGATAGAGTCTTGGCATTTTCCCCTAGAACTGTCCAGGATCTTGGTCCTCTTACTTAATGTCTCCCAAATAGCTGGGATTGCAGGTGCACATCACTATTCTCAGCTTGTTTGTGGAGATGAGGTTTTTCTTTTTGCTGTCTTTTATGAGACAATGTACTCAGCCTGTATTTGGTAAATCTTTTCAACTAAAATTTAATCTTTAATAAGTTCAAGGTGTATTTTTTTTAAATTTGAGAGTTCAACTTTTTACTGAATAAACTGCAAAAGAGGTTTAGTCAAAAAGCCCAAAACCTATGTTACCATCAAACTCCTGGATTCTTTCTCCTCCTTGGTTGGGCAGGCGCCTCCTGCTGCTGTGGCACCAGCTCCTGAAGCAGCTCGGCCAGCCCTGTGCTGGCCAGGGTCCCAGCGCTGACACCGGCCAGAGCCTTTGCAAACGAGCCAAGCCGCAGTGTGTCAGCGTTTGCCTGGCTGCCTTCACAGGGCACCATGGCTGCAGGCAGAGGCTGAACGGATGCAGGAAGCTTGGAGGGCGCCTGACCGCAATGTGGGAGTCCTGGACTGTATGGAGTGAGCCCTGGGCCCAGGGACAGCCAGGTACAGGAAATGTCATCTGAGTTCCTCTTTTAACCAGGAGTGAAAGAATGGGTTTCGTTGCTTTTCTCTATCACATACCGAAGCTAACGATCTCAAGTTAGCCCCAGTACCTTGACCCTGGGCTGGCTGCCTCCTTGCCAGACTCAACTTGGTCAGGTCAAGTATGCACTGAAAGACCATGCCTGCTACATTGAGGAATCTTAAAACATGGCCAGGGGTAAATAAAGCAGCATCAGGAGGCTCAGGCCCACTTGGGTATGCCCTTATAATGTGGGAACTGAGTGGGAACACCCCACTGCTGACTGTCTTTGCCTTTGCCAGATTTCAGCGTATTGTAGAATGTGGCCTCCCAAGAGTGTTGGGTTCTTTCCAAATGAACACCTCCTGTGGGATGTGGCTTTGCTTTGTGGGAACTGGGCTGCAGGCCCTAGTCCTGATCTGTCCAGCGTTCGCTGTCCTCTATTCAGGCTAACACCACTGCATCCCAGTGCTATTTTATTACTTTATTGTGGTAGAATTAAAACAGCTAGAAAACCTTAAGGCTGTTTCTGTACCTGGGATTTAATTGGCTTAGTGCCTTTATAGGACAAATGAAATGAAATTACAAAGCAGAAACACTTTAAATTAGCTTTCTGTAAATATAAGGGACAAGGCTGTACTTGTCAGGAAATATGATTGTTAGGATAAAGTTCTCAAAAAAAATCCTCACTGGTCAATGAGAATTTGAAAAATACCTTCAGAATGAAATAATTCGATTATTTTTTGTTTAACTTTATATCAAATTATTGCAGAAAATATTTTTTCTTTGGTACTTCACATCTCTTGCAGTCATGAGATCTAGTATTTTACCTTGGTTTTAAAATCTGTATGGTACTATTTAACTCATGTGCGACTTAGCCACATGCTTGCTTGATCCAGGGTGACAGGTGTTTATGAATGGTTCAGTTTCTTGCTGTGCTCACTAAAGAGAGTGGACAGTGTCTTTCTGTGGTAGAGTTAAAGGGTGTGGCCAGTGACCTTCATTCTCTCTCCTCCTCTGGCTGAGAATATGAATAGTTTAATCCATTCTGATGCCTCAGGGCCACCAGAACATTCCCAGGGGATCAGCCCTGTCTACCTTGCTACCAAGGCATGGTTTTCCATCTCCTGCCACAGGGCGTGGGACCCCGATGCCTTGGCAGCCTGAGCCCCCAAAGAACATCAGCTCATCCCTTAGGCACGCGGGTGATTGCAAGTCCACTAATCTTTATGGGCCAAGCGTCATTTAACCTCACAGAGATGATATACAAATATAGATCATACAGTGTAGATTCTGGTGTATTTATGCATAGCCCTGCTTCCCTTCACTGAGAAGAGTAAAGCACAGTCATGTTGTTAGTAGCCAGTGAGGATGTCTCCCAGTGGGAGAAGTCAGGACCTACATAGTCAATGGTGGGGGAATAGTTAGTCCCCATTCCCTTCCCTTTCAGCCCACATTATGAATGAAGAGTTGATAGCAAACCAATTTTAACACATCATACTTTGATTTTTTTCTTTCTGGCAGTACTGTGATTTGAACTCAGGGCCTCAAACTTGGTAGGCAGGTGCTATACTACTTGAGTCACACTGCTAGCCCAACACATCACACTCCTTTCTTTCATATAAAGATTGAGCAAGATGGGAATGATCTTGAGACTAACTTAGGTGAATATATATAGAATGGCTGAAGTACTTGAGAAGGTCCTGAAGGTGCTTGAGATTATTACTGTAACACTTGGCAGAATAAGATATTATTTGTTTGTTGTGCTGATACTGGGGCTTGAACTCAGGTCCTTGGGTTTTGGCTTGACTTCCTGCTTATGGCTGGTGCTCTACCACTTGAGCTACGCTTCCAGTTCCAGTCTTTAGCTGGTTAGTTGAACATAATAATCTCTCAGATGGGGCTGGGAAGATGGCTCAGTGGTAGAGCACTTGCCTTGCATGC